CCTTACGGGACTCAGGGCGGTGAACAGGCAATAATAAAAATCACAATAAATATTGAATAAAAAGCCTGCTCTAAAATACCCCATATAAAACCCCTAGCAAAGCCCAATCAAAACTACGCCAGGCCGGCCGCATGGAATAGATGGGTTTTCAAGGCTCGGCGGAAGAGGCGCAGGTCCGTAGTTGTACGTAGGTCAGGGGGTAGGTCATTCCAGAGGGCAGGAGCTGCCACAGAGAAGGCTCTCCCCCTGGGGGTTGCCAGCCGGCATTGACTGGCCGATGGCACCCTAAGGAGGCCCTCTCTGTGGGAGCGGACTGGTCGAAGGGAGATATTTGGTAGGAGGCGGTCTTGCAAATACCTAGGTCCATTGCCATGGAGCGCTTTAAAAGTTGTTACTAACACCTTGAAGCGCACCCAGAAGGCCACCGGCAGCCAGTGCAGCTCGCGCAGGAGAGGTGTTACATGGGAGTATCTAGAGGCCCCCAAAATCCCCCGCGCGGCCGCATTCTGAACTAGCTGGAGCCTCCAGGTGCACCTTTCCCATCTGAAGTGGTGGAACACTAGTGGCTTCCTGAGTCCTAGCCTGGCGAATGCCCAGCCCAGTGTTTATAGTAGTGGCACTGCAGTGTGTGAGAAATTGGGCCAGGTCCCCTAGCTATAAGTGATTGTACAGAAAGTAAAACTGATAAAAGGAAGGATCTTTTATGCCCCAATACCTGCCCTCAGTTTACAAGTAACCCACCAAAATAAAATTAAAAGTGCTGAGAAGCTCAGTTTTTCTTTTACAATATTTGTCTAGTGCATTCTCTGTAACTTGGAATTTGTTGGAGAAGTAAAAAATCTTTCTGGTTGCATGAGACCCGGAGAGCAACCAACATGATTAATGGCAGTCTGTTATAAATTTTTAGCAATTCCTACCTTATCTAATTCTTTCCACATTATGCAGTCATTGCATAATAGACTTGTGTTTTTAAAATGTATCATGAAAATGTGGGATGAACATCCCCTCGGAGGACATCAGATATCTTAATCTATAAAACTGCATATCCTGTGCTTTTCTCAAATCACTTCAGAGCTGTACTTACTATTCCCTTACATAATTATAGATATTAATGTACATGGAGAATTGTTCATTGAAAATCATATGTACAAATAAAAAATATACAGTATTAAGTTACTCAAATATAAAGGTGTTAATCAAGCTGTTACTATTCTGTGTTCTTTCTCATGTTACTAGCTATAAAACCAACAGCAACTGTGCGATGTTAATCTTTAGATACATTTCACATACTTTACAGCTAATTGGATTAATTGGATTGCACAGATCATCCTAAAAACAGCCCAAGTATATTCCCACTGCTATTTATTGTATTTATTTTCTATGCACAATGTGTAAAAAAGAATTATAAGTAACTTGTTTCGGTTTCTTAGTCAATTAAACTTATAAAAACCTAAAAAAAACTATATACAATTTTATAATATAAGGATCAATGAAAGGAACTACTGAAGTTATTTACTCAGAAGTAAGTACTACTGAGTTGATAAAGTACTTACATGTATGCTGGGTTGCAGCCAGGCTTTTGATAATCAGTGAAATATATAATTTTACTTCTTGAATTCATCAGAATACTTTCCTTTTATTGTTCAAATCATTTGTACTAACTTCCTAAACTGCTTGCTGAAACTTGTTGGCATTTTGCAAAATTTGGTGGATACCTTATTTTCTCTTACGGTGATGCCAATGATGTGAGTAGGGAAGACTAATTTGGGAATAGTTCATAACTAGAAAGCTCTGTTTCATGGAACGAAGCCCGTCAGTGATAGTGAAGCTAAACAATGCAAGACTGTTGCTATGTACGAGAGTGTTTTTCATAAAGATACTTTTAAGTCATTTTATTACAAATTCACTCCATAATGGATCACCTAAATGACTGACATTTAAGCCAGTTCTTTTTCTTACTTTAGAAATTCTTTTCATAAAATATGTTACAGTTCTGGTGGGTATTTATTTCTGCTAGTTGGATATAAACCATTTGTTGCTTGAGAATATTTGGATATTATTCTTTATTAAAGGTTTTGTGTTTTGTTGTTTAACACTGAGTTTATTCTTGTAGGTTGCGAAAAACAAATGAAAGTTGTTTTCAGGGAATCATCTGAAGAACATCTTCAGCCCTTTAAGGATAAGTTTGAAGAATTTTTCTCTAAAGGTACATTCTTTCCAATCTGTTTGTTTAAGCACATTCCAGTTCTTGATATAATTCAATGCAAGTCTGCTCTTAATTATTGGTTGAGATTTATGTAGACTGCGGTTCACATTTCTTTATAAAGGTGAAAAAAAAACATTTTCAGCTGGTATCAGAAGCTATATCACTTAACTTAGCTTATCTTCACATGGTGATGGGGCATTCTAAACATAATTATTCAACTTCAATCAGTTTAAAGTAGATTCCATATCCTCTTTACCATTCCCTATGTTCAGATCCTTTGTGATATAGGGTTGATACTTTCTCTTCTTGGAACCATTCTACTTTCACTTTTGTTTCTTTCACTTTTTGAGTGGGTCTATTGTCACTGCATCATAGCATTAGATAATGATTGACTTTATATGCTAGTGACAACATAACAGTATTAATATATTGAAACAGTAATTTATTGATGGGTAACATAGTGTTCTTTATATTCTTACATAATGCTGAAAATATTTACACTGCCTTCACTAAGATTTCACAGTATCTCTAAGATAATTTACAATATGATTGTAACCCAGCAACTATACCACTATACCAACACAGACTTTATTTCTTTACTAATGTTTCTAAAAAAAAGTGTAATACATGAATTAAGCAACCCTAAACCATAACCCTTACCCTCATAAACTCAGCAGGGTTCCAGCAATAATAGGTTTCTCACTGCAGAGGGGATCTGTTGATCAATCTAGGGGAAAAACTAGAAGCCATTTGTGTTGGCAAGAGAAAATGTCTGTGTGTTGTTTTTTCTTTTCACGTTTATTGTCCTTTCAAATAGAATATGGGACCCATATTAGGCCATATTTTCATTGCTTTTTTATTTTTCCCAGAAAGATTCTTCTGCATGCTTCTCCTACTCGGTCTTTGGAGGAAGTCCCCATTTTTGTTTATTTCTATCCTCAAAGTTCATTTCTGCTGCTTACCATTCCACTGAATGGATAGGCATAACTACCTTAACCTGTATCTAAAGCTTGATCTCTACATAACCATCCATCTTTCTCTTACTTCTGGGGTGTGTGTGTGTGTGTGTGTGTGTGTGTGAGTGAGTGAGTGAGTGAGTGAAAGAGAAACAGAAGTAGAGAAAGAGGTAGAAAGAGAGCATTTCATTTTAAAAAATGTTTGGTTGGTTAGATTGCAGGGCTTCAAGAATAGGTGAAAATTAAACCAGAAGTATGATATTTATCTGGTACATATAAATACAATGCAAAATGGTTAGTTAAAAATGAGTGGTTGACCAACTGTATTTATCAAGAGTGATTTATGTGTGGATAATCTCTATAGACTGTACTTTTTTACAGGGGTGTCACTCTTTCAGCAGATTCCCTGGTAATTGTAGAAAATGTTTTACAGTACAACCCTGGAACTATCTCCTTTGAAAAGCAGTGCAATTTCATTCTAAAAATGCATGCTTAGAGTTATACCATTATATAATTATGGTATGCATAATTACATGCTTTTGCATGCTTAGCTTGCCAATATACATACTCTTGGTAATTTTCTTCATTCAACTTAGAATTCTGTAAATACTATCATTCTGCTTTTCATATTTCTTGATTAACCATGACAATATTGTCGCAGATATTATTGGATATTAAATTGCAGAATGGAAAAATAGACAGATTTTTTTAATTTAATAATTTTCCATTGAGTGGGGTTCAAGCCACTTACTTTTCACCTCTTACTACTCCCCAAATACAGTTTTTTAATTTGAAATTAATCAAGATATACAAGCAAAATTGCTCTTCATTAGCAATAATAATGATGGTTTCAGAGGAAAAAGTAAAAACAGCACATTTCAACCAACGCTTCTCTCCATTCCAACATAAAAATATTATATATTATGTTGTAACTTTCTTAGGGCAACTCACAGATCAAGCTGAATGCAAACTTTTGAGATTCATCAACAAAATAGCAATGTCCCCAGATAATCTTTTTTTAAAATATAATACCAAAAATGCACTTTTTATCAACTTTCTAAGTTTGTAAATGCTGGAAAAGCACTGCTTTTCTTTTTAAGCATTGTTTTGTCCTATAAGAGGGTTTGTATTGTTCATTTTACTGAAGATCTATTTTTCAGTCTCTTGGTACACTAAGCCTCCATTGTACATAATATTCAATATCACTGCCATGTAAAAAGAACTTTAAGTGATTTGTTACAGAAAAGGCAGAAGATGCTACCATATCAAGAGCAGCTGTTTTTATTTTTAAAGGAACAGTCTTGGGAAGAAACTCCTGGATGACTGTCAAGCAATGCACGATATGCTAAATTACTATTTCAGTTAGTGAATATTTTTCATTAGTGATAAAAACAAAATAAAATAGTCATTTGGAATCATTGGGAATATGCTTCAGAGTGCATTATTTTTTATCTATGATCTGTGTTTTAGGGAGACAATGAGTAGTTTAAAAAAACATAATTTTCATGTTTTTAAAATTCCAGGGATAACCAAACATTTATTGTGTTCATGATTTTCATTGCTCCATACACAGGCATTTTTCTCTTTCTTTCCATACCCATGAATTACAACAGCTGCAGGCAACTGGAAAAATATTAGAATTGCCAGAGATAGAACAAATATCCTGGAATATCACAACTCTTATTTAGATGTGATAATATAGATGTTTCCTTTTTTCAAGCAGTTGTTATTGAAAGCAAAAGCTCACGAAATCAATATAAATAATAGTTCTAAATGTAATCTATATAAAATATATACTTAAGTAACAGAAATGCAGTGAGTCAGATGTTCCACTTTAAAATAGCAGACTGTACCTTCTATTTGCTTTGAAATTAGCACATAATTTTCTTCAAGTAAATTTAGAATTACTTTGGGGAGTAGAAATGATCCCAATCCACATCGGAATTATTTGTGATAATGTATAGAATTCTATTCCAAATGAATAGGCAATTCCTCAAACAGATGTAATTCTTTAAAAGGATGAGACCCATCCCAACCCAAAGTTTGGGAGAAAGACAATCGATCAATCAGAATAGAGCTGGAAGGGACCTTGGAGGTCATCTAGTCCAACCCCCTGTTCAAGCAGGAGACCCTATACCATTTCAGACAAGTGACTGTCCAGTCTCTTCTTTAAAACCTCCTGTGAAGAAGCACCTACAACGTCTGAAGGCAAGCTGTTCCACTGGTTAATTGTCCTCACTGTTAGGAAGTTTCTCCTTAGTTCCAGGTTGGTTCTCTCCTTGATTAATTTCCATCCATTCTTTCTTGTCCTGCCTTCTGGTGCTTTGGTAAATAAGTTGATCCCTTCTCTTTGTGGCAACCTTTCAAATACTGGAATACTGCTACCATGACACCCCTAGTCCTTCTTTTCTCTAGACTAGCCAAACCCAAATCCTGCAACCATTCTTCATATGTTTTACTCTCCAGGCCTTTAATCATCTTAGTTGCTGTTCTTTGCACTTTTTCCAAAGTCTCAACATCTTTTTTAATGTGGTGACCAAAACTGGATGCAGTTTCCAGGTGTGGCCTTGCTAAGGCTTTATAAAGCAGTACTAATATTTCACGTGATTTTGATTCTGTGCCTCTATTTATACAACCAAGGATTGTATTAGCTTTTTTGGTGGCTGTCGCACACTGCTGGCTCATGTTTAAGCAATCCTCCACTAGGACTCCAAGGTCCCTCTCACAGTTACTGTTTTTGAGCCAGGTTTCACCTAATCTGTACTTGTACCTTTGGTTTTTCCTGTCTAAGTGTAAAACCTTGCTTTTCTGCACATGAAATTTCATGTTGTTGGATAGGGCCCATTGATCAAGTCTGTCAAGACCTTTTTGAATCCTGGGCTTGTCTTCTGTGGTGTTGGCTATTCCTGTCAGCTTAGTGTCATCTCCAAATTTGATGAGTTCCCTCTCTATTCCTTCATCTAAGTTATTTATGAAGATATTGGGCCTAAGACAGAACCCTGTGGCACCACACTGCTTACTTTGCTCCATGTAGATGTAGTACCATTAAGGATGATTTGTTGAGTATGGTTTGTCAGACAGTTACAAATCCATCTGATCGTGATGCTGTCTATCCCACATTTTTCTAGCTTACCAAGAAGTAGGTTATGGTCTACTTTGTCAAATGCCTTGCTGAAGTCTAAGTATACTACGCCTACAGCATTTCACTGGACTACTAATTTAGTCACTTTGTCAAAGAATGAAATAAGATTAGTTGGCATAATCTGTTTTTAACAAACCCATGCTAGCTTTTAGTTATAACTTTATTTGTTTCTAGATGTTCGTAGATCTGTTTTTTGATTATCTTTTTCAGTATTTTCCCAGGTATTGATGTTAGGCTGATTGGTCTGTAGTTTCCTGGGTCTATTTTTTCCCCTTTTTTGAAGATGGGAACTATATCATCTCTTTTCCAATCTCAGGTAATTCTCCGGTGTTCTAGGATTTTTTAAAAATATGATACAATGGTTGTATCTGCCAGCTCCTTGAGAACTCTGGGATGTAAACTATCGGGTCCTGGTAATTTATATTTGTCAAGATCAGATAAGTGTTCTCTAACCATTTTCTTGCTTATTTTAATTTTTATTTCTAGTCTGTCTTTTACAGTTAGGTTTTTGGGCTATAGTTTCTTTTTGCGTGAAGACTGATGCAAAGAATGAGTTAAGCAGCTGTGCTTTCTCTCTATTGCCTGTTATTTCCTTGCCATCTTCTCTCTTAAGTGGACCTACTGTTTCCTTGACTTTTTTCTTGTTATTTATATGTTAAAAGAAACTTTTTTTATTATCTTTGACTTTTGTTGCACGTCTTTGTTCATTCTGAGCCTTAGCTTTCCTGACTTCATTTTTGCAGATTCGGCCTACATGCTGGTATTCTGCCTTAGTTATGTGTCCCTCTTTCCATTTTTTGTATTTGTCCTTTTTGTCTTTCAGCTTATCAGAGAGATCTTTGTGCAACCATGCTGGTTTCTTCTTGGATTTCTTGTTTTTCTTTTTCAGTGGTATTGTTCTGGACTGAGCTTTTATGATCATATTTTTCAGAGTTCCCTATGCTTCTTGAGTTGTTTTCCAGGATTTTCATCCATGGAATTTTTCTTAGGTTCTCTCTGAGTTTATTAAATTCAACTCTTTTAAGGTTTAAGAAACTGACTGTATTATGTTCTATTGCTTGTGTTTGTATTACATTGAATTCCAATATGACTCGCCCAAAGTTCTGCCAATTTCAACTCCCTCTATCACTTCTTCTCTATTAGTAAGAATTAAATCTAGTATAGCTTTTCCTGTAGTTCCCTCCTTTACCTTTTGGATCTCAAAGTTGGTTAGGAATCTGTTTGATATTCTATTTGCAAGTTTCAGAGATGTTTTGCATATACATATGATTAAATAGATTAGCAACATAAAAAATTGTAAACACAGGATCAAAAAAGTATTAAAAGGGCAAAGTTAAACCAACCTTTCCCATTCTGACTCCTTCAGATGTATTGGTTCAACAAGTAGAATTTTCCATCAACTTGGAGAAGGATAAAGTATAATGTAACTAAATCTAATTAATTGTTTTTAATTTCATTTATTTGACTGCTCTATTCAAACCAACTCAGGACAGTGATTCTAACCAACTCTGAGTAATGTCCATCCCAGCTTCAGATTATTTAGTCTCCATGACCACTAAGTTGGGGAGTTTTCTTCATATGAGAATGGGTTTTATACAGATTTATCATATTGGGATGAAGAAGTATCTATCTTTTCAGTGAAATTGTATTATTTACCATCCTTGTTTATGAAAACATTTATTGTTTTGATATTTATATATAGATTAACCAATAGGAAAAACATTTGTCCATAGTCTAATTTAGTATACAGATAAGAATTTAAAGTTTGACAATTTTACTGAACCAAAACCTACTACAATACTTTTCTAACACTGAACTATACATAGATACTGTTCCTTCTCTTCCATTTTTAAAATATTAAATTATAAAATTAAAAAAAATACTTTTGCCATATTGTTATATTTTAATTCCGATTATTTTTTCATTTTTTTGTGCAAAGAAACAGATGTGTTCCATATAAAATGCACATATATTTATTCTTATACCTTCAATGTCTGTCACAAACTCTCCAATTCCAATGCTAATTCTGATTTAAAAGACTATATGGCAAAATAATTCATTACCAGCAATAGAGAGGGAATAAAAGAATAATGAGATGAGATGAAGCAATTCACAGTGTGAAAAAGTCTACACAAATCCATAGAAAATTAATTTCAATTTTGGCATTTTCCTGCTATGCCTTTAAAATGAACCTATGCTCCCGACCACCAAAAATGTTTATTTGTAAAAGGAAAATGTCATAATGAAGGAAGAGAATTCTTTAATCCGTTCTCCATTCCAGCACTCTAGAAAACTTACCTTAAGTGTGAGAGGCTGTTGGTTGCACATATTATATTCCTAAAGCTTTACTTGATTGTATGAAATCAATCTTTACTAAGTTCAGTTTATAAAATATAACCTCAACTCCATAAATCATTCTAAGCATCCCACAGGAGGAAATAATGCTGTGTTTTTTTATTTTCTGAAAAGAACTTAAATAACCACATCCATAAGCTTTTTTAAAAGTTGGGTTCGTGTACAGTTATTAATTTTTGCAACTCTATTACCCAATATACTTATTTGCTCGGTATTTGTGACAGTTTCCTGTTTTACAAATGACCTGTTTCCTATTCTTATTAACCATAATTCATCATACTTCTGAACACACTAAGCCTACCCCACCCCACTGCCTCCATTAAAAAAAAAACCTTCATTTTTATAAGTGTAGTCTGTCTGGTTTATTTTTTCAAAAGCTGAACAGATTGGTTTCATACATATTCTATTTAAAAGGGATTAAAACCAATTTTCCAGTTTCTTAAATTGTTTGCCTGTATTTAGCAGTCTCAGAAAGATTACTCTTTCTGTTTTCTTTGGAATAAAGCAAATGAAAAATATTCTTTTTTATTATGTTAAACAATACTATGTTTTAAAAGTTACCATGTTTAACCACATTTGGGGTATAATGATTGATTAATAATGTGTATGCAGGAGAATCATATTTGAAAAATTTATTTTTGGAGTTGTTTCCCAGAAAAATACTGAGTTTTGAGACATATACTATGATTGGTCTCAATTTATTTTGATATTATATTTCAAAAGAGGATATGAACTGAAACACATTTTAAAATATGTTCCATTTCTTGAGTATATAAAAAAACAAACTTTGAAAAGCTTTTTTCTGTTGATATACAAACATATCCAAGAAAAATGAATTATATAATATCTGACTTAGTTGGCTTCATTGCTATAATTGCCTAGTAAACTGACCTTCAACACAATTTTGACAAATTTATAGGCAACATTATCCATTTTTAAACAGAACATAATTTCTTGGTTTCCTTGTATTACCTCTGATAATAAACAATTGGATTTGTTCTATGGGTGGAATGTATAAATATAATCAGTATTTTGGGGTTATTTTTAAACGTTATTTGAACTTTCATGCCTCATGTAGTTGAAAAATGTCAAGATATTTTCCAAAATATCTCAAGTGTAAGGACAAGTAACACTTTATGATTTGCAAGCCCATGTATAAAAATATTTATACATAACTTAAAAATAGTTTACTTCCATAAATTCGTTAAATAAACCAAACTTAATCTGGGTTGAAAAAAGATTTTAACTAAACTAGCCATGGAGAATGGCAACCCACTTTTTTGCCTTCCAGTTGTTCAAGGTGTATATAAAATCCCTAATCTGATGGCACTGAGATGTTTCTCCTGAGAGATACTGGAGATGGCAAGCCTGAATCCTAATATAATAGACTGCTAGAATAACCTTGAAAATCAGGAGGAAGACCTGCAACTAAGCAATATTCAGATAAGAGAAATCTGAATCCAAAGCAGAAATGAAGTTTGAGAAAATGTCTCAGATTGAACTCCACCCCTTTTATCTTTATAGATAAAGACAGGGAGGGAGAAACATAAATCACCATAAAAGAGAAGAATAAAAGCAGTTTTGGTCTTCATAATTTTGGTTTCCAAGTCTGGTCTACCTCAAAGGGCTAACATCTAATCAGATTAAAACAGGGATTGCACTGAAAAAGGAGAAAGTGGTGAAAAATCTTGTAATTCTGATCCTACATAAAGCAACTTTGTATTTAAGCCAATCTCATTTATACATTATCAAACTTAATTTTATTTATTCATTTATTAAGGATATTTATATGGCTATCTTTCTACCAAAGGAATACTGAATAACATACAAAATTGAAAACAAAACCAGTCACAATCCATTTTATGTTTACTAAGAGTTCCTTAAGCCTGATTTTATCAATGTCTATATATTAGAAACCATTTGAAGCTATTGGAAATAGGGTGAATACATAAGTGTACAGAGCATCATTTTTATTATGGTTTAGATAACTGTAGCTATTACAGTTGGATTAAAAATTTACTCTATTTCTTACCTGTAAACTACCACTGGTTCACATAGCTAAGCTTTATGGAATTTGTCATCAGTATAGATTTCTAGATTTAGTCCATAGTAACCTTGAAAACACTGGAAGGGTTGTCATATGTATGGTTCATATATTTTGTGAAATTCAGCTATGTAGCACATATTTGCAAGACCGCCTCCTACCAAATACCTCCCTTCGACCAGTCCGCTCCCACAGAGAGGGCCTCCTTAGGGTGCCGTCGGCCAGTCAATGCCGGCTGGCGACCCCCAGGGGGAGAGCCTTCTCTGTGGCAGCTCCTGCCCTCTGGAATGACCTACCCCCTGACCTACGTACAACTGCGGACCTGCGCCTCTTTCGCCGAGCCTTGAAAACCCATCTATACCATGCGGCCGGCCTGGCGTAGTTTTGATTGTGTTTTGGTAGGGGTTTTTATATGGGGTATTTTAGAGCAGGCTTTTTATTTAATATTTATTGTGATTTTTATTATCGCCTGTTCACCGCCCTGAGTCCCATAAGGGAAATAGGGCGGTATATAAATTTAAATAATAAATAAATAAATAAATAAATAAATAAATAAATAAATAAATAAATAAATAAATAAATAAATAAATAAATATCAATACCATCTCTGGCCACCTGGTAGGAAATGTTTCATTATAATTCCCCCCAAAAATTCCCAGGATATATCTGTATGTTGGGAATCAGAATGGATAAGAGACCACAGTTTCTGAATAAATGAAGTCTAGACGGAAGTGTAAGTAATCTTTCTTGTCAGGATCTGAAATATCTTTGTATGATAACTTTGGTCCTGAACATCTAAATATTTTTCCTTTAGAATTTCTTGGTGCTCTCTGAGCTTGGTTGTTTACAGCCTGAGCTACAAACCCTGAGGTACAGTAATTCTGGGATACAGCTACAAATACAGACAAATATCTCTTTTGCTGGATATGTCCTTCATGGATTAAAAAAGCCATTAACTGGACAACATATGGAATATATTAGCTACAAGGAGATCAAAATCATTGTGAATTGTGCATACCTTCACTGTAAATAAAGCATCTTTGTAACACAATAAAAATAAGTGCTTTATTATTGGTCTGTACAGCATCTCCTCACAAATAGTCCCTGCATCATTGTAAGAATAGCATATACTTTTGTTCTAAAAGTGTTTTAGCCAATTACACCAGCCTCTGTATTTATGGAATATTTTTAGGGCAATTAGTCAGTGTTCTTCCCTACAATGTTTACAAGGATGACATAATTTCTTAATTCATAATTCATATATTAATATTCCAAATATTCCTTTTTCTATGAGCAGTGTGAAATTATAAAACACTTGAAATGTAGCGCACATTCAGATTTCTAAAATTATGTTAAAATGTTTTTTGCAGCTGTAGAAGAACATAAGGCAGAGGAAAGTCTCCTGGACAATGCACAAAAGTGGTAAGCTCTCTAGTTTTCTTAACTCTGTGCATTATAAATTCAGAAATACCTTTAAATGGGATTAGGACTGGGATTCTTTCTTCAAATGCATGTTACTCTTTTCCAGTATTTTCATACAAATATATACAGTGCACAGAGAAATCCAACAGGACTGAGTTAAAGTGAAAGATATAGTTTTCCTGTAACAGCTTTCTTTTCATATGAAAGAAAGGTTGTTTGGTTAAAAACATGGGAAGTATTCTGTCACTTCTTTGAAGAAAACAGAAGTCAGGGAACAATACTATATGACAAGCTTACTATTTGTCCAAAAGATCATTTAAGAATATTTTAGTCTTCTTTCAGGTCAAAAATCCAAAACCTTGCAAAATGTCCATTGAAGCTTTACATATGCATAGTTTCACCAGCCACATCCTTCTTCAGTATAAGAAACTTAATTCTAGATCTCAGTGCCCCCAATTTAACTCTTAAATTGTCCTTAAGCAATATACCCTTGATAAGTTCACCTCATCTTTATCCCTGTTGTTCCAACTTGCTTGGAAGACACAAACAAAGAAGTAGAAGCTATGTGGGAGGTGAAAATAGTCCTAGGGATATTCACCACAAGATTGTGACTCCAGTAGTCACAATCTTCTGGTGCTAGCTCTGGAACAAATAATGTATTTTCAGTATATTAATGCCTGTAAACCTTCAGTTAGGGAGAGGCTGCCACGACTTTGAGTTAATAGTCTATTATTTAGAGATTTATTGGGGGAATGTACAATGGTACAATTCAGTGCCATTTCTCTAAACAATTGTTTTTAAAATGTGATTCGTTCTCAGATCTTACCTACCATTTTGCTTTTTTTTGCTTTTTCTATTCCTATTGCTTATGTAGACATCTATCACTTTGGTAGCTGATGCAATAAAAACTATAATATATATTATATTGCATCTGGTCTTTATACAGTATGTGGTACAGTTTTTGGTTGTACCTGATTTTTTTTTAAATTTCTAGTCAGAAATCTGTGCTAGCAAACTTGCCATTGAATTTTCCCAGTGAGTTTACATTTATCCATCTTTTCCCTTGTACATCCTCCAGCTTTGAAGAAATGGTGAGATACTATGGAATAAAGCCAAAATCTGGTGAAAAGGAGACCACGCCGAATTATGTTTTCATGGTTTGGTATGAGTTCTGTAGTGACTTTAAGACTACTTGGAAACGGGAGAACAAAGACATTTCCAAAGAAAGGTAAGGTTCTAATAAAGCCATTAATATTATTTTAGAAGTCTGGGGAGCTGTTCATTTTCAAACTCAACAAATTATACTCCTGTATTTCTCAGGCGTCACTGTTTTCTTTGAGATCAAATGGACCTCAAGGAAAGATTATTCCCTCAGGGTGCCTAGGAAAATTGACCAAAGGGATGTTGTCCCCACAAAAAGATAAACACATATAATCTGATAAATTACACTTTCTTAACCCCTTCCAGTTGGTAGCTAGTAAAATGAAAAAGGAACTGTGCTAATTTGGAACAGATTGCTTTTCTTTGCATTTTCATGTTGGACAACTTTAAGTGAGGAAATATTGGTATTGCAGACAGCACTAACAAATAAAAGTGAAGTTAATATGTCCACACTTGCATCAAAGGGAAACCTATGGGATTCAGACCACATTTAGCACAGTGTCAAAATCCTATACTGAATTTACAGGATTATTTTTTAGTATCTTGCTGTGTAGCTCAAATTCCATGCCATGGCATGTCCCATCATTTCCTGATTTTATTAGTTTTTAGTTAACACCCTTTTGTGTTAAGGTTTGAACTGTTTGAAGGTTTAAAGGGAAAAAAGAAAGAAAGATTGGGATGATTATTTAATAATTTCATCACTGTACTATATTCTTTTGTATTGTAACAAATTTACGTTAAAAATATAACATTTTAAATTACATATTATAACATTGTTTTCCAGTCCAGTGGTCTTACTACATTTCAATTTACTTCCCCCTCCTATTGAATTCACTTATATGACTCTCACTTCTTATACAGCCAAATTAATCCCATATTCATTCATCAGAAAACAGGCTGGGATTGATTTGAAAGTTTGCAGAAATGGAATGCTCCCTCTTCTTGAACCCAGCCTAATGATGACTGGACATGCTTAGTAATCATGGAATGGTTCTATAGAAGGGAAATGGAATAAATATTCTAGAAGAAGACATGGCTAGAAACCTATACTCCTGGACCACTCCACATTATATTATTTTGGAGTAGGTTCCATTTGTCCAGAATGCAACTTTCTAGTATGTATAGTGTTCCTTCCTTCCTTCCTTCCTTCCTTCCTTCCTTCCTTCCTTCCTTCCTTCCTTCCTTCCTTCCTTCCTTCCTTCCTTCCTTTTATTTTAAATTACGTTCTATGGAACCCCATGGGTTTTGCAAGAATTTGTTGTGGTTCTGTGAGAGACTAATACACACATTAAAAAGTTCCTTTAACTCAGCCAGTTTTCTATCCTTTGAACTTTGACCCTTGATTAGGTGTAATGGGATTTTAAAAAAAAGTGGTGTTGCCAGAAAAAAACTAAAAATCTCTGTTATACATCATGCTTCCTAATAAATTATATTGTTTGTAATCAATTTTTGAAGCATACAGGTAACAAAATATCTGAGCAAATAGACTAATGAGTAACATAATTCAAATTAGTAATAAAATAAAAGGAAACTATAAAATGATAATGTTGAGTTCAGTTCTAACATTCTTGAATATTTATTTTGGTATATTTGTTGCCAAACCCAACAGATTCTATTGTTAAAGAGACACCAGCTTCTATTTTAATACAGGAAATGAAAAGCAAAATATTATGGGATTATGTGCCACAGAAATGCAAAGTAAGGAATATAGTAGCTTGCTGGGAATGAACACAAATTTTTCAGGCAAGCATCTCCTTCCTCATGTGACATTTAGTGAAGAGCTGGATGGAGGCTAACAATTATTCTAAACATTTAAAACATGTGTGTATGTGTGTGATGTGTTCCTTATATTAAACAAGCAAAGACTACATTACTATTCTTGGGCCTAAATGAATAACTTGCCACATAGTAGCTGGCATTCAACATAATAACAATGTTAATTGTCCAACACTAGAAGCATAAATTTGCTTAAGCGAGCTATTTTAAATTAAATGCAGATGTGGATAATTCAGTAAATTACTATACTTTTTATACAAAGAGATGTGCAAACATTGTGGGTCATTGGTGTCTTTCATCACAAGCAACAATCTTAAGCAGCAGTCACTTTTTTTCTGCTCAGAAAGAAAATGTCAGAGAAGGGAAAGTCCTCTTAAACTTGAAATTAGCCATAATATAGAAGCTACTTCCAGTTTGCCCTTGAAATGGCATACAAAGATTTCATCACTACCACCAGCAGTCACGTGAAGTCAGGAAAAACACAACCAAATCCTCATCAGGACTTCCTTTCAAGTAACTGATAACTGATTCTTAAAAAGGTTACTAATATAAACGGTGTCATTCAGTTGAATTAGGAATTAATTAAGAAACTCCATCTTTACAGCAAGTCTTTCTCTACCTCAGCAAGTTTAAGTTGGGTGAACTTCAACTCCCAGAATCATGACTTCTGGAAGTTGAAGTCCACATGTCTTAAAGTTGTTGTGGTTGAGAAACAGTGAGATGTAGAATTTAAAGATCAAAGGCGTGAGCACATTTTGTATCTTTCCATCTTTCAACAGAATTGTCCCAGTCTGCACTTTCTTTCAACCTCACGTGATTTCACAGGTTTGACCACTGCAGCAAATGTCCAGAGTTTGAATGCACATTTATATAAATATGAAGCTTTAGATAATTGCTGATATTTAGAATATGAATACTTAGATGACATTAGCATGCAGCTAATGTTTTATCTTTTGCACTTGTGGGAAAATGCTAGGAAGGAAAAAAAAATATACAGAAGAAGAAACAATGAGTTCAGTGTGATGGTTTTCTATTCTTTGTGGATTTTTTTTAAGATAGGTAAGTATTCAAGTTTCTATCTGCCCAAGTGGAGAAAAATGTTTTACACCCCTCTCCCTTGCTCTAGAGAAAAATAAGCCAGCATACTAAAGAGAGGCAGGGGCTATCAGAAAAGAGGCAGTACCATTATGTTTAAAAAACATAATTCTTTTTCACTAAGCCTTCTGTCATGAGCAAAATTGTTCCATAGACAAAACATTGCTTAGAAACAATTCATATTCCATTCATATTACTCTATGAATATCAAAGGAAATTCTAAAATATCATATTCCAGCAAGTGATTTTTCTTCCTGAAGTGTAAATGTCCATTTCTCCATATATCACCTATAACAATCTAGTCCAATGTTTCTAAAACTTGGAAACTTTAAAATGGATGGATTTTAACTGGATGGTGGCCTGCTGGGGAATTCTGGAAATTGAAGTCCACCCCATCTTAAACTGTCAGGTTGAAAAACACTAAACTAGGTTATTCTGCAAACCTGGTTTGGAATTGATGGTATAAAATATGTCGTTAATTACAAAATTGACTTATTTTTGTTATACTTGCTTTGTTCCCTATAAATGTATTCCCATGGTGACAAATCATGGTTTGATGTTATGCATGAACTCAGCCTAAAATAATATTTATGTATAGGCATTTTCAAAAGTAATTGTGCACTTACCCACACACTGAAAATCATTCGAAGCAAGCATTAAGTATGCAGTAATAAATGCCAAATAAAAATTAATTATTTCTGTATTTATTAAACATTCCCTGAAGAAGCTAAGAACACTTTTTTTAAAAAAAAAACTGTTAACAAAGGATATTATACTATAGAATAGAATAGAATAACAGAGTTGGAAGGGACCTTGGAGGTCTTCTAGTCTAACCCCCTGCTCAGGCAGGAAACCCTATACCATTTCAGACAAATGGTTGTCCAATCTCTTCTTAAAAACTTCCAGTATTGGAGCATTCACAACTTCTGGAGGCAGGTTGTTCCACTGATCAATTGTTCTAACAGTCAGGAAATTTCTCCTTAGTTCTAGGTTGCTTGTCTCTTTGATTTGTTGTGTAGGATCTGAAGTGTTGCTTGGTAAGAAATACAGGAAACCAGAAGTTGCCTTTTTAAGCATTACATTTTTATTCAGCTGAACAAAGATGGGCTCCTCCAAAAGAGAGAAGCCCCGAATAACAGGAAATTCCTATGTTTATACTTGTTGGTTACATAAGCAATTCACCCAGCAAAACTGACACACGTAAGATAAAGACTTCACAAAGAAAGGCTGGCACACCATAGATAAGAAAGGAGAAAGCAGAAATAGCTAAATATGTTCCTTTTGGGTGTTTCTCTAAAGACACTGCATGTTCTTGGATGACCTGGGACATTGGGTATTTTCCTTGCTGACCTTCCATGACTCTGCATCCATGCACATATTCACAATTTATGCTTTCTATGCTTTCCCCTGATTCCGGATCAACATAATCCCCCCTTTCATACTTTGAGCAGTGCATAGAAGTGTGATCATCAAACTAATTAGTTTCCACCCATTGCTTCTTGTCCTGCCTTCAGGTGCTTTGGAGAATAGCTTGACTCCCTCTTCTTTGTGGCAGCCCCTGAGATATTGGAACACTGCTATCATGTCCCCCCTCATCCTTCTCTTCGTTAAACTAGACATACCCAATTCCAGCAACCATTCCTTATATGTTTCAGCTTCCAGTCCCCTGATAATCTTTGTTGCTTTTCTCTGCACTCTTTCTAGTTATTGATCTTTCCTTCCATTCAGTCATGTCTGACTCTCAGAAACTGCCTGGGCAAATCCCTGCAGTTTTCTTGGTTAGATTTTTTTTCAGCCGTTATGCCATTGCCTCTTTCCTAGGGCTAGGAGAAGGTGATTGGCCCAAGGTCACTTGCCCAGCTTTATACCCAAGGTGAGATTATAACTCTCAGTCTCCTGTTTTCTAGCCTGATGGCTTAACCACTACACAAAACTTGGAATCTTTCAATATCCCAAATTCTGTTAATCATAAGGAATTTAATATGTTTTGAGAATGTCTTATGGCAGCAGCTGCTTATAGAAGGTCCATCCTGCTGGCTTTGATACCAAATCAGTCTTTTGGTATCAAATCACTTCATGCCTTAATTCCTAGCCTTTCCTCCCTTGATCCTTTGAATGAAAAGGAGGCCATGGGGTTAAGTAAGCAGCCTTTTTTCATCCTCAGCCCTGACACAACACTTATGTATTCTTGAAAAGGTGAAAATTTTATACTAGCAAATTGCAAAAACATATTTTAAAGCTAGTTAATATTGTTAACACGGGAACAATTTTATTTGATGTGTGTAATTACAAAATATGTACTTTTATAATGATCTTGAACTGGCTAATGAGTGTGAGTGACTATGTATGTGTTTGTTATTTGATCTACTATAAAAACATTTAGATTTAAAAATATGCTTCTCCCCAAAGTTGACTAGATAGAAATATTAACAATTTGGGCTGAAAGTTTTAGTGTTTAATTTTTTATAGAAAATTGTTTGCTTGTTTGTTTTACCATAGAAAATTCTAGTCTTGCTTATTTCCATTATTTTCTAGGATATAGGAACCATTAAGGAGACAATTCTGCACTTTTTTGAATTAGTATCTAATTAGCACTGCAGTTCTTGTTTCCATATTCTGCAGTAGCTGAAATTTTTGAAGTAATCTGCTGGGCCACTGACTGACAGTGTTTTGTAATAAATCAGAACTTTTATGGGGTTACTTTAAATGTCACTTAGAAATGGACAACTGATACTATTTAGCTAGCCAAGATTATTTCAGCTTCTGTGCCACTAACCAGCAATAACACAGTAATCCAACTAACTGTATTGTATATTATAGTCCTAGCTGATTCAACCAAAATAGTTATTAAAGAAGCTTAGATTTTGTTGCTGAATTCCATGGATGAAATTTTCTTTATACTCAGCTCTGTTCAACAAGACATTCCAGTGTTGGATAAAAATTATAGTTTGATCTCTCAGTGAGCCAGGTAGTAGCAATATATAGCATTGTTTGTTTGTTTGTTTGTTTGTTTGTTTGTTTGAAGTGTGGACCACTTGGTACTGATACACCATCAAAATGTTTATGTTTATGTTTATCTTTATTTAGATTTGTATACCGCCCTATCTTCCTTACGGGACTCAGGGCGGTAAACAGGCGATAATAAAAATCACAATAAATATCTATTCTAAAATCAAATTAAATAAATAAAGGCCTGCTCTAAAATACCCCATATAAAAACCTATACTAAAACCTAATTAAGACTACGCCAGGCCTGCCGCACGAAATAGATGGGTTTTCAGGGCTCGGCGAAAAAGGTCCGCAGTTGTACGTAGGTTGTGGGGTAGGTCATTCCAGAGGGCAGGAGCTGCCACAGAGAAGGCTCTCCCCCTGGGGGTCGCCAGCCGGCATTGACTGGCCGACGGCACCCTAAGGAGGCCCTCTCTGTGGGAGCGGACTGGTCGAAGGGAGGTATTTGGTAGGAGGCGGTCTTGCAAATACCTAGGTCCATTAATAAATGGTCATTAGAGATCAAGAACAATCCATGAATTGAGAGCAAGAGAGCCAATGTATAACAATTTAATATATGTCTTCAGAGCTAACTGAGATGTTAAAATGTAATGTCTGGCATTTCACAGGATATGCACCTTGATGTCATTATTGATTGGAGTTAGTACTGCATCATAATGACCCTAATGAAGGTCATACTGGCCTGATAAGTGCTTTCTTGCAAGAGAAGAACTATGGTTCAGTAATAGAACACATGCTTTGCAATGAAACACCGTAAAACCATTTCATAGTATTTTCAGGTTGGACTGGAGAAGCTCTGGGGAACTGTTCCCAATCAGTGCTAATATGATTAGGGAGTTGGATCAGTGATTATCTCAGTAAAAAACATTTTGTTAGGAAAACTCTCACTGGTACTGAATGTAGATTAGGTTTTATACCAGCCCTAAAAATTTAGATAATATTTTTTCCAAATTTGTCAGATAAGAGAATTGATGTAGATTCTATGTGTTTGCTTTATAAAGTATAGCTATTTAGCATCTCTCAAGTCCCTGGATATCGACACCATCTCTTGAGAATTTTTGGCGCATGATCGACCGACATGGCGTACCCTGGTTTACCAGGGGTGCCAGACATATGAACACAGGAGGACAATCTTGGCACAAGAGAAGCGAGCACTCCGTAAAGCCAGAGCTGCAAATGTCCACATTTCTCTGCAAGTGTCCACATTTCTCTGTTCAGTATGTGGCAGAACATTCCGTGCTAACATCGGTCTCATCAGCCATCTACGGACACACCGTTGATGGCCCACAATCCACAAGATGTCAAGGTCTTCATCGAAAATCGATGGACGAACAACAACAACAATAGCTATTTAGGAAAACAACTTTTATGTGGTGAACATATATAATTTTTAAAGCTCTAATAATACTTGCTTATCTTTTGTTTTAGACTTAGAATGGCTCAGCAATCAGTGAGCAAATTAACTTCAGAAAAGAAAGTGGAAACTAGGAAAATCAATCCAACTGCCAGTCTGGTATGTTATGTTCTTATTGTGATTCTGGTTTTCTTTTAAATATAGCTGGAAGGTTTAGTTAATTCTTATGTAATTAACCTATTGAAAAGCAAGTATGTATTTTCAATTTTAGGATAGGTATCCTAAAGGTTTTTTCCTGCAATGACATTATGACCTGGAGCCAATTTACAAAATCATTGTGGATCTTAACATATTTCTGTATAAAAAAATTATTCTGAATGTTAATTGAGTATTGGCATCCTTTCCTGCTGCATTCTATAAATTAAATAATCCCAGACATTGTCTTTGCTTTTCAAGATTCCATTTCTAAAATATGAATATGACACTGTAGATAGAAAAGATAGTTAATAGCACATTCCTGTAAGACTCTCTCTAAATTTATCATTTTAACTTATTTAAGAACAAGCTCTAGGTTGCTGGATTTTGTCCAGTATTGACTGCTCTCTTTTTTATGTGGACAGATGGAAAATTCTTTTGCTGCATGTAGATGCTAAATACAGGTACCAGCTAGCTAGAGGGAATTGAGTCCAATTTAGTAACAATACATGTAGAAGCTTTGTTACATATAAAGATTTGGCTATTTATTTGAGGAACAGTCTGATGTCAAGCATGTATATGAAATCAAAAGAGAGTTTGCTATTAATTAATTTGGTAGAAATTATCCAAAATAGTGTATGATAATGTATGGCTATCAAGGTTGTATTGGGTTTGGTCTAGAGTTACATTATCATGCAGTTTGCCACATGGACTGGGTAAAATACTCATTTTTGAAGGAAAGGGAATGAAAAATCCCTTCAAGTAGTTGGCTTCAAATCATTTCTTTTGTGTTCACTTCTACCACTTTTAAATTTCTGTGTTTTTTTCACATTTGTAATTTTTACAGACAAAGACTGTTGACTAATTGTACAGGCTTTTTGACATATACTTAAAAACATATCCTTCCTGTCTTAGTGTGGCACTTCAGGAATTAATTTTCTGAAGCAAATGGCGGAACGGGGAAGCTTATGTCTACTCTGGTTTCAGATTGTTCCATTCTTTTGGCCTAAACCATATACTTTCTGCAGTTTGAAAACAGATGGAAAAACTAAACCAAAGAATGATAATAAACTCCTTTTCTCTTAAACAACAGAAAGAAAGACTACGTCAGAAAGAAGCTAATGTGACTCCCAACTGAAAGAAGACCCCAGAACAAAAAAAAAACAATGACAGTGTGAGCTTGATGATGCTACACGTAGCTCCTTCCCTTCGGGAGCACCTTAATTTAGATGAAGTTCTGTTTTGCTTTTTTCTTCCGACAATCCGCCAAAGACTTTTCAATCCCTTGGTTTATACAAGCAAGGGAATGCTAAGGAGTTTGTTTACATGGGAATTAGGAAGGGTTCCCCAGTAACTGTTTCTTATGTGGTTGAAACTGGATGGTTTTCTTAAAAGTGAAGAACGTCTCTATGCAAAGTGCACTAGTATGGAAGACAGCAAATCTGGATTTTAGGCAGGGAAATAAATAGCTTTATATCATCTGCAACAGATGCAGGGGATGGTTAATATTGAAGATTTGCTGAATTGGTGTCTGCTTAAAATTGTTTGTATGGCATTCAAACGATTAAGTTTATCTTCTATATTTTATTATAATTATTTTTATAAGAAGCTCAATCTATGAATAGGGATAGAAATACTGTTTTTGCACATATGGAGACAGAACTAATATCAAAATGTATGCTGCACTTGTATCGACTAATATTTTTAGTTTTGTTGCTATTTTAATGATAGAATGGTAAAATGAAGAACTGGCATATCTAGATGAGGTCCAGATAGCAGTCTTCAACAGTACATTATTTATAATCATTTAATTGGATGCTGTACAAAAACTGTTTCCATTATTTATAATTAATCTAAACCAAAGTCTATATTCTTTAACAGTTAACATTTTGATATAACCAATGTTTAGATATTTCTATATAATTCTGTGAGTATGTATGTGTCTGGAACAGAGTGTGCACACTTATATACAAATACATTTTCTACTTACATTGTGTACATACATTATATATATCGCTGCCTAGATTAAGAAGAAAGACAGCATTGATCTCCCATTTTTCATGCTGTAACAACTTGTATGAAGGACAGCTTAGAATTAAAATTATAATTGAAATGAATAAATAATAAAATTAAAATGCAATTCATGTCCTATATCAGAAGCTAAATGGTCGCTAAGCAAAGCACATGACAGAGAAAGAGATTGCAAAGATTGTTGGGTTGCTGCAACCTCATTTAGGTAAAGTTTTGTTTGCAGCAATGCCAGCATTACTCTTGTGCCGGCATGTGTTGTTGTCCATTGCAAACATTTGGGCATAAGCCCCCATATTAATCAGAAAATGATATTTTTAATTTATTACTACTGACTTATTTATAGGCTGCCACTAAACAAGGTAGCCACTAAACAAGGAGGGGCTGTAATAACAATTAGGTAAAAATTGCTGAATACTAAAAAGTAATGAAGCATAGGCCAAAGTTGTTGACTCAATGGCTGAAGACAATGTAGACTCAGAAGTTGGTAATTTTTATTTTATTTATTTATTTATTAAAGTTGTATGCCACCCATCTCACCAATAAGGCGACTCTGAGTGGCTATAATCAGGGTTTTCCCCTTTTGTCTCAAGAAAGACGTCCCACTGAATTTGAGTGGCATGGTTTCCAGCTCTTTTACTATAGGGAGCAGTAGAAAGGTTGTTGGTATGTCATCCTCATAGTATCTGTTCAGGTCGAGGACATTTAAGTGCCGACCATTAGTTGTGCCCACTCTGCTCCCAGCCATTCCTTTTTTCAGGAATGTTTTGCCTGATCAGAAGCACAAAGAAGCATTTTTTTTGTTCCTCAGAATGTCCCATCTTTTAAAGATAAAAAGAAAGTCCATTGGTCTTGGCCTTTGATGAAGCCACAGAGAGTATGGTGGATTACAAAAAAATGTAAAAGAAAAAGAACATTGCCTGCATGATAAATAAAGACCTGGAGAATGAATGCATGGTTATTCAATATATCTTCTTAAAAGTAATTAACTAATTGTAAAGAAAAAAATCAAATATGCAATATGTAACTTCCTTTTTATCTTTGCACAATTAAAGAAAAGGGCTCTAAACTGTATATATTATGATTGCCATTGAAATATGACATTTGTAGAATAGATAGTTAAACAGTTCCTAAAGGGAACTATTGTAGATGTTGGTACTGAACAGTGAAATTTTATTTTCCTCTTAGAACAGAAACATGACGTGTTTTTCTCTGTCATGAATGGAAACAAATAAAATAAACTGAGAAAAATAAAATGGGTTGTATAAAATGTAATAAAGATTTTTAGTTTTGTGAAAGTTCACTAAATTATCAAGTAGTAAATTGCACATGTAATAAATTCCACACTTCGCAAATTATTTTATTTGCCACGTACCATGCCAAATCTTTTGCTTCTAAGATTTGTCAACGTTCATAAGTTAACAAAATGCTTCTGAGTCTCTTGGTTGTAAATTTTCAACTCACAATCCTAAAATTCCAAATTTAGAAATGGGTAAAATTCCAAATTTAGAAATGGGTACAAAAGCAATAAAAATCAAAAACAATAAAAAGCAAAAACGTAATTTATGCTGAGAGGAGAGAGAAAGAGAGAAACTTAATGGTTAATTAATTTTATTTAGTATAATTCAGTACCGTTACTCTTTACTGTGCAAATATATGGCAGCTAGCCATTTTCAGTTAAAAAATTAACATAACAAAAAGAACACCAAACTCTATCTGTTTATATTTTGCAACTAATAGATGAAATCCCACATAGTTATTCTGCAATATTTTAGAACGAATCAGTTTATTTTGCAAACTGAAAAACATGTTATCATAATGTGCATTATATAAAAGTCAATACAGAAGAACAAAAGTAAGATGTTCATTCATATAAAAGAAATGATGTTATGTGTATTACATTCCATGTGTTTCACCCAAATTGTTGGAATGGAAAAGTAAGAGTAAAGACGTATTTTGTAGAAAAGGAATGTCCTTATCCAGAAAATCTATGTCTTTTATCTAAACTAATGAATATTTGGATCATATCATCAATTGAATCCAATATCTACCCATGCTATTTGGGTCTATTATTCTACTAATGTATAGGTGAAATACTTTGTCCTGGTTGATTTGGATTGCTATGATGTACTTTAGAGAATCTCAGTTTATAGCTGGATGAATGATATTGCAGTACTATATGTTTATAGACTTTGGAAACGGTATATATGAAACTCTATGAGATACAAATCAGCTGTTCAGTAAATATAGACATATAAATATACTGAAAATTGAGGAGTAGAGTAAAATCCAAAACCAATCATAAAGTATAGTTTTATTTATTTTAAATTTTTACTAAGTATTTTAAATGTTAAAGGCATTGTGGAAATAATGTGTTTATGAATGTACTTTTTTTTAAATAATAACTTGATTCTCGATTTAATCTTCCTGCCAAAGCTGTCCCTATTGGAAAGTAAATTACTGTCCCCATTTTACCAACCAACCTATTGTTCTAGAGAATCTCTGCCCCTTTAGTCACATTTCTCCCCTTATATTTATGTTATTATGGGGGTTTTGTTACATTTATAAGCCACTTCACTTTATTACAACTCTGGTCCATGTTCTACCTACAGAAACAGAGAAAAGGAATCCCCATCTCATGAATCAGCCATCCCACAGGGGGCCTGCCACCACTGTAGCCCAAGGCCTAGGAAAAGAGCCAGATTTTAAGGGCTCATCCAAATAAAGTAGTGTGAGGACCTATGGATCTCTGGGGAACATCATTCCAGAGAATATGTACTACAGCAGAGAAGCACCAGTTCCTTAGCTTTTCAGGTGGCATGGCTTAATCAATGGAACTTGAGAATGCCAACTTTGCTGAACCACATAGGACTGGCATCAAGTAACTTGAGCCTATGCCATGAAGGGCTTTATAGAGTATAACCATAGCTTCAATTTCATTCCCAATGAAATCTATGCAGCTCCAAGAAAGAGACATGCCCACAGTAGTCCATATGTCTGCATTCTGAATTGACTGTAGCTCCATGTAACATACAAAAGCATACCCATGTAGAATGCATTGCAGTGGACCACAGGCAAGGTGTCTAGAACATAAGTAGGTACTTTAAGGACTCTCCAGGGCAGATACGGGTACAATTGATGTACTTGAATTTGTACTGAATCATGGTGTACTAATGTATGAAATCTTGCAGCTGCCACCTATTCCTTAACGCACAAAGTATCCATCAGTCCTGAAGGAGGTAGTGCAACTTGACTTAGGACTAAAGGGGAGCATCTCCAGATCCAAGTGATAGAAATGCCCTCAGCCAACAGGTCTTGTCATGACTGAGCCTAAGCCTTTTCCTCCCCACCCAGACTCCCACAGCCTCCAGTCATTCACTAACTATAGATTCAATTAGGCACTATTCTGTATTCCAACTAATGGACACACTTGATAAATGCTTGCACGCTGCACAGGCTAGCACCTAGGGACAGAAACCCAAGTGTGGCTTCTTTTAATGCAAATCAATTTTCATAGCATTACTATGCTGCATAAAAGGTTTTAAAAAAACCTATGGGCAGCCCCAACATTTTTCAAGATCGTGTCACTGAAAACTGGTTTTTTCTACTGGTTTTCGTTGAAAAATTAAACATTATTTAAAATTAATCAATTAAACTAACATAGGCTTGTTAAGATCCAACAGATATAAGTACAAAAAAAAACCATTAGGAGCAAATTACCAAAATGGCCAGTTCTTTTGGTGATATGATTTTATCCTAGTCCCACTTTGCAGCTCTTGAATAAAATGGATATCCTAAAATTGTAGATTTTCTCTTCAAGAGTCAAGGTGTCTTTTCCCCCCCCCCTTCCTTCCCAGATTCAAAAACTGGGCCAAAGTTTATAATCCTGTCTGATCTAGTGCTTTCCCCAGACCTGTGACTTATGGCCTTAAAACCAATTTTATTATCCCATCCTCCTCCAAAAAAACAGACCCAGTTACAAAATTGATGCTCAGTTGTGCTCTGGTCCTCTGGCATGTGTATTAGGAGACAGCACTTTTTCTTCCAAATATTGATGCTCTTTTTATATGAACTTTTTTTAAAATTTTCTCCATGTGGAGTGAGTGACCAATTCAACAGGACAGTGTTTGTGTTTGT